TCTCTCTCTCTCTCTCTCTCTCTCTCTCTCTCTCTCTCTCGTTTCTCTTTCTCACCTTTACCTTTACCATCGCGCGCGCGCGCGTGTATATGTGTGTGTGTGTGTGTGTGTGTGTGTGTGTGTACATATGTATATCATTCCTTCCTCTTTTATCCCTTCATTTACTTTCATCGACCCCTGTCATTCTCTTTTTTCTTGATCCTTTCGTGATCCCTTCCAATCCTACTCTTGTCTCTCCTATTTTCTTTCGCCAGCCCCCCTTTTGTAAAATTCCTCGCGTCTTTTTTTCTGTCACGTTGAATTCTCTCCCGTGTGTCGTCATACGTCACGTGCAGAAAATTTGAAATTTATCGATATCGTTAACGATGTCCCTCCAATATTCATTTCGATTTAATTATTCCTCGTACGTTGTAAGAGTGTGCAATGTATTTCGTCGAATGGGACCTAGAACTTCGAAAATTAAACAACAATAATTAGTACTGCAATCAATAGAACATTGTTGCAGAGAAAAATTGATATTTCGAACGTTTGTAAATCCGTCGAATCCAGCCGAGTGGTTTCTGTTTATCAGATAAATTTGTGTGCAAGGGAAGTTGAGTTGTAAAGTCTCAAATCTGTAATATTCGCGGTAATGGGATAATAAGTGCAGATATGTTGCTCGTTGGTGGCTGTCTGTGATCAGAAAGAAGCGTCGCCATGAATTTCCTTAACTGAACCGATTAATAAATTCGTATCGCGATCACTTCGGTCCCCTGCACAATACAGCCATGCAACTTGACTAAAAAATTCCTCTTCAAATTTTGCTCTTTTCGCACGCATGTTGGCACGAGTATCTGAAAATGCGAATCGAATCGCCGAAGCTAAATCGATCGAATGCGAACGTGAAGAAGACAGAGGTTTAAATGCTCTCGGGCTCGAAATTTAATTTGGTGGGGTACGCTTGCTGGCTACGAGGTGAAATCGTATCGACCGCAAGGGGGAAGTTGGCGCGCGGTGACGGGCACGCGCGACACATACATACTTGATTCGCAAAAGAATCGGAAGAAAGTTGTTTAAAAGGATCCCATTCGTTGGTCAAATTTCAGCTACTCGAACTAAAAATTTTAAAACTTTATTTTACTCGTAGAGGTTTCCCCCACTTATTTTTGGATAATTTCGAGTAACTTTGCACGTTTAGCTTTTCGGCCATCAATTTCCTAAAATCGCACAGGTAAGATTGCTTCCAGAAATTATCCTATACCGTGCAATTCTTTTTATACTTTTTCTCGTTGAACGCAATACTGAAAGATTTATTCTTTCTGGGCTCGCTGATTCTGTTTCTCCGTCGTGACCATTACTATTGGTCAACCCTGCTGACGTCATCGAGAAAGGTCCAATAGGACGACGTTAGTGCGTATGCACGCTACTCGCTCGTAGCGACGGTGCATCATGGTGTTTGTATGATCAAATTCGCGTTATCGCCACGAAGTAGTTAGGATAGGTTATTTAAAATAGGTTATACTTAGGCGAGAAGATATCTGTGGATGCACATAATGGATACCAAATAAATTTCGGTATTTCCAAATTAAAAGGCTTGAAAGATTTCTTTTGATAGATTTTGTTCACCGAGTTTTTTCCGCCCTTCGAGGAGTACGAGGCGATGATTCGAAAGATTTATTTCAATTTATCTCGAGTATTTATCTAAAGTTGATCAATCGATCATATTAACCGGGGGACCGAGTATGCGCGTAAGGTTTGCCTAAAAAGCGAGGCTCGACTATATCAACCGATTTATAATAGCATCTGGTTGTTTAGCAATGTGAATTTATCTCTTTGCACGCGTGTAAAACGAGTATTTCGGCAATCGTTGGATATAGTCGCTCTCGTACGCGCGCGCACTTGGTCGATTCCGATGGAGAAGCCGAGCGCGCAACATCGGCGAGACCGGCGGCGGATTTCGCAAGATTTACGCCGCAAAGAACCGATGCATTTCTTCGGGATGACATCACAGTGTATTAATGGTGCTTGCGGTTACTATGGGTTACGACGTTACGGACGCGTATTCACGATAAACGGGGAAGCGTGTATCTGCTGACGGTGGGTTTAAGTCAGCCATAAAATGTATCCTACGAAAGTAAATCTCGACTATATCTTCTTTCTCTCCCCCCCTCTTTTTTACACCCTTGCCGCAGGTGGATCGTTGTTACATTTCCTTCGCACCGGACAGAAGTTTTCCTCGATTACGATTTGCAGAAACCGACCGTCTGTTAACGCGACGCGATAAAGTTGTTCCGCGTTCGCGACCACTTTTATCTGCGGCGCGATTAAAACGATGTTTCCGATTCGATGCTCTCATCACAATTTCTGCGCGGCGATGCTTCTTTTTGTACGATGGGCGAGCATTGTATAGATAGAGGAGGAAGGGGATGAAAAAGAAAAAAAGAAAAAGAAAGGAAATAGGGGGAGAAAATTTCCAAGTGTCCGGATCGGAGGTGCTTCTTTTTTTTCCTTTAGGAAAGCATTGTACAATCGTACAAGTAGACGAGAATGGGGGGAGGGGAGAGAGAAACGAGAAAATATCCAAGTGTCCGAATCGAGCGGTGCGACCAAGTGTAATAAAATTTAGTCCGGTTTGGAGCTGATTCGCAGCCTCGATCCTCGCGAGAGAGAGGGAGAAGAGCGCGGGGAAAGGGAGGAAGAGAGAACCACGGTTCTCAGTTTAACCTTGGTTGTAATAGCGGAGGTGCACAATGTTGGATCCTCGTCTTTCGTCCCCTTTCGTCCTCTAACGCTCGCATATGGAAACGCATTACGCGTCCAGGGATCGCTTTCTCGGAAATTATTTTCCTTTCGATTTTATTAGATTAAATTCGAATCTTGAGCGGCCACGAGGCAAGTTACCGAGCCAGCGAGCTGTTTTTCCAATCGGTTTGGCCTTTCTTCACCGTGCGGTTACATTCCTAAGTAATTAATCCGCGGAACCACAGCGCGGCGTAGCTATCGGCAAGCAGAACAGAAGGTGTCTGCGGCAAACTGCTCCAGTCAATTTCGTACACGTAGACGCGCTCTCGTCTCTCGCGTTCGCATCGAAAAGGCACGTTAGCAGAAGATCTGAAAACGATCGAGAGACAGGAGAAATAAAGGAAAGAATTCATCGGCGACGTGGATGGCTATCCACTCCGGAAGTCAACGTGAATTCTGTATTGTTCAAAAAATTTCCAAAGGAACGAGGGAACAACGATTTTCGTGATAACGCAACGAGCCATCTTTTAGATGTTCGCCGAACGAACTGCGATTCCCGGTGGTTGTGTGTTGCATATCGACCGCCCCACGAAAGTACGAAAAGGGATTGCAAAACTGCGGGCGCGCACGAGCACATTCGCAGGCGCGCGCTCGTGACGCTCCCATTCATTTACATGCATGATCGAGCGGAGTGGCACGAAACTCTCACGGAATGGAGTGCTTGTTCTTTGCGCAACAACCATCTTCTTTCACGAGTGCCGTTTAAAATCCTTCCTCGTTCCCTGACCCTTTTGTGCCTCTTAGATCTCTTAACTATCCGGAATTATCCACGTAACGTATCTCCGCACGAGAGAAAGGAAAAAAGAAAAAAAAAAATAACGGAGAAAAAGTAAAATTCTAAGGGGAAAAAAAATCAAGTTAATCGTGAAGATCATTTTAATAACAAAGAGGGGGTGGGGGAAGGGAAACCTATCTCGCCCGATGGCATGGTATTGTCTCGTATCTTGGTTTACTTCCACCAGCAGTTTCTCGTTCGCCTCTCTCGTTCGTCTGTCTCTCTCCCTCTCTCTGTTCTCTGATTCTCCTTCTCCTCTTTTTCTGTGCAATGTTGTGTGTGCATGTTGCATCCTCCTTCCTCCCCGCGCCGATCTGCCGTGAACGTAGCGAAGACAGCGCAAATGTGAAGAGAGGACAGCGCGATACCGGTTATTGGCGGGCAACTGGCATATTTCACCGAGTGTCCGGCAATCAGGCCTTTGTATACGGCTTACTGTATGTTACACGCTCGTGTTCTCCCTTACCACGGAGGAACAGAGAGCAGAGCGAAAGATGGAAGTCGCAGAAAAATGGGCTTGAAGAGAAACAGAGACAGAGAGAGAGAGAACTCGACGTTTATTTAACGGCGTAGAACTAGTCGTAGGTATGGTTAGTACAGCTGGTAGTGGTGGGAGGTCGCGCATTATAGTCTCGCTGCTTTTCCTTGATTTTACGCGCGTTACAGTCTCGCTGTTTTTTCTTTTTTTTTTTTAGACTTTGAACGAATCACATGTTAGAAAGTAGTAGTGGAATTAATGCCATTCTCGAGGGGAAGAAAATGAGTATCATTTTCGATGTGGGCGTAAACGGGACATAATGATGTCTAAGCATGTCAGGAAAAAAAAAGATCAATATGGATACGCGGCGACGTTCTTTGCATTTTAGTTTTTACACAATATGGAGTTGCTTGCACAACACTTTTGTTAGTTGTGTGATAGTTTGAATTGAGAAGAGAGAGAGAGAGATAGAGAAAGAAATAGGCGGTACCATTGCCAGTTTTATCCGCACGATTGCTTGCAATCGGGCTGGGGCCGCATGGTAGTAGAATGCGCGTTTCAACTCTGCGCACGGGTTGCTAGTGAGAGAGCAACGTCGTTTCCCTGCAACATCGAATTACTCCGTGGCCGAGAAGGGGTCAGCGGAAACGTCAAACAACTTGTTGGAGACGCGGTCGAGCTATGCCGAGTAACAATGCTCGATTGATAGTATTGTAAACAGCGTGTAATGACGTACGAGAGCACGAGATTCTTTTCTTTTTCTGCTTTCACGTGCCGATGCTCGCGCGGTTCTCGGCTAATTTGCAACGAGAGGCCGCGGACGTTTTACCGACTGAACCGGGCTGGTCAGATTGAGATAATTGACGAAATTATTTTCGCGCGCGATAGGTAAACCAGAATGGCGAATATCGGTAATATAGGGGCAATGAGAGGGGGGAGGGTAGAAAAGAGTGGGTGGGAGGGGGAAGGAGAGGTCAGCATCGAGCGATAATCGTTCAGGAATAATTTTGGTTCGTATCGAATCAATGCAAGGGTCGAGGTACGCCAAGTAGGTCGCCACAAATCCCATTGCTGCCAACGTGACAAACCAGCCGGTGCAACGCTGCACACTCGCGCGCGTTTCACTACGCCGCGGCGGAACCTCGTTAACTTCACCGCTGCTGGAAACACCGCGGCCAGAACATCCGCCGTTGTTAAAGTCGCCGACAGCTGGTCTCACTACAACCAATCAGATTAATCGTTTGAAATACGATAGGGCAAGACACGCGTGTTTTTTTTCTTTTTTTTTTTTTTTTTTTTTTTTTGCGATTTTGCTAAGTTACGTTCCGTGTAGGTCGTCATCCACAATTGTCTATTTAGCAAAGACACTCGAGTTCGTATCTGAAAGACCAAGTTTACCGATAGAGAGATATTTTCTAAGAAAATCGTATAGTTACATTGCACAGTTTGAGGACTAAGGTTCTTGTATAAGTTTGCTTAGACTTGGACGACGCTCCTAACCTGCCATTCCGTGGGGGCAGCTAAATATTTCAGAGGACAGTGTTACCACCCGTGACATGTAAATTGCATTTTACGATGAGTGCATCGCGGAACGTTTATTAACCAGCTCGCAGTTGCGCGCGTAACCCGCTGTAGCAACGATTTATATTTAGCCACGGGATTATAGTTTTGTTTCTGTTACAATGCGTGCAGTTGCTTCTGGCAGTTTCCCTGATTTCGTACCATCTGAAATAATACGGCGTCGCCAGTGATCCTCAACGCGTTCGAACGCGTAACCAACCAATTAGAAATATGCATTTCTGGGAGATAGAGGGGCGGGGGAGAGCGGAAAAGACAGGAGGAGAAACGATAGAAATGACGGTGGATTTTCGTGAGACCCGATTGAAGTGAAATCGAAATGCACGGATTAACGGACGCCTGCATGGTCGTGCGATGGAAACTGAATCTTTGCGCACTGGCGGTTTGACAATGCCGATAACATTATTGCGCTTCAGCCAGTCACGTGACGGAGGTACGGGCTGTGTAAATCGCGATAACTTTCATCAAAATCGGCCGCGAGGAATACACCTAGGAATCGAATCGGGTTCGATTCGATCGCAGAACTTAGTCGAAATGCACGTTGTTGGTTATGAATGTCACTGTCCGTCATAGGAAAATCCACTTTTCATCAACGAATTACGAATCGTACATTTTTTCGATGATGTCATAATAAAATTCGATTTCCTTCGGACTTGATTAATTACGATTCTGTTTTTCTTCCTCTTTTTTTCTTTTTTTTTTTTTTTGTTTCTTTGTTTTTTATGTCAGTCTATTTCTAAAAAGCCGCGTCCAATTAACGCTGTACCTTTTTCGAGAATGCGAGGACAAAAGCCTGGGAAACGACCATACGGTCGTTGACGATTTTCAGTAGTAGCAGCTGACATGCTACTGACAATGATTGCAGTAGAAAAGGTAGCGTGCGCATCGAACAAACTGGCCTCTCCTATTCACGCATTCGTCACGTGATTCCGACTTTAGTTTTGCTCGCCGTGGGATTTTTCATTTCGCGATGCCTGTGTAAGCTCGCGTTACCTTACCTCGTTTATCGATATTTAATTTGTAAATGAAACAAAAGGACACCTCCCCCCCCCCCAAAAAAAACGAAAAAGAACAAAACAACGACAGAACATACTATTCGAAGTGACAAAAATAGAAATCAGGATTAAAATTACGTTTAAAAGTATAGCAAAATTATCATACTGTCACTAAGCTTGACTTTAGCTCTAGGTTATTATCACTCCTTCGGCTAATTTGCACTCTTAATTACAACGTTTAGATTAAAAAAAGATTAAAAAAAACATAAACATTCCTCTTTGCATTACAAATCGTTGAATTATTTATCGATCAACTTTACAACCAGAATGACTCGAACAATCACCGCCGGTCAATTACGTCAATTTTTTTTTTCTTTTTTGTAAAAATCTCAAATTCAAATTTCTTTTGACGTTCAACGAACGATAATTGATTCTCAAATCTTGAGCTCCTCTCCTCGATCAATATTTACAATTGCATCGTGCGTATTTGTATCGAACGAAAGAAGCACTATTGCTATTTCGTTCTCTGGACAAAAGCTCAATGTGTTTTTCTAAAATTATCTTTCTTCACGCATTTTTTAAATTTTCGGGTGCGAATAGGTTGGTTAAATTATGTTTCCTTTCTTACCGACGGTTGGTGATTTAAACCCATCGATAAGGTGGCTAATTGGCTATTACCGTCTGTGCATGTTTATATCCGATCGATTGTTTACATGGACGCAATTTTAAGTTTGCCAGAAGAAATTAATGATAATAATATTAGGAACGCGCGTGTGTATACGCATAGGCGAGAAGGTAGAACACAGGCGTACTTGGCATAACTCCAGCCACACGTGCTGACTTGACACGGCTCGTAACGTCTCCCCTGAAGAATTCTCATACCACTTGCCACGAAATCGAACGCAACAGCCGCGGTTCGCTGCGTTTTGCGTTTTCCCCGAAGACAAGAAAAATGCAACATCGAGTGAATCATCGATGTTCGTAGGAGAAATGCAAGGATACGCCATAGATACATCCTGCCACTGCGTATATTGCGTCGTTTTCTTCGTAATTGTTACATGCAGCGATTTATTAGCAATGGCGGATCTTCCGATCGATCGTAACAGGATATCTTCCCATCTGTTTTTACATTTTACCTTTTTTACCTATTTTACATTTTTTCAAATAACAAATAGATTACGTACTTTCACACAATTTTATTTTTTAATAGTAAAGAAAAAATACGATCGTAATTATTATACCATACAATGAACGTAATTAAAAAAAAGATTTTTCTCCGCTATCGAAATTACAATTTACTACTTTTCAAGTACTTTTCTTTAAGGTTTTCACATCTTGCATGCGTCCACTGCATTTCTGCATTCTTAAATTTCCCGATTTAATGATAAGAGATAAATTTTTTTTTTTTTTTAACCGATTAATTTAAGAATTATTCTCGTCTTGTAATTGCAATTAAACACTTGAGATATTAAATATCTATTTGATTTCTTTTTTCTTTCTTTCTCTATCGTTAGCAAATGTCTTCCAGACTCGCGGTGCCGAAATGTGGTGAATCAGCTTCCACGGATCTTTGTCGAAAACACGATCTGTATTATAGTAGATATTAGACGCTCGTTTTTATTGAACTGTTAGAAGGGAACGTTTTTCTGGATCAATAACATTAAATATTGCATTGCAACGTTATAGACGCAAATAATTGATATTTCTTGCGGGATACTTGATTAAGGGTCAACCGAAGACAGTCGTCTTGAGAATTCATAGAATTTTTCTATGTCAAAAGTCTTTTCTTCATCTTAGGTTTATTTTACCATTTTACTATATGAATAAAGTAGTATGAATTTTTCAAAAAAGAACTGTTCCTTTCATTGTTAAAGCGTATGAAATGTCGTTCTCTTAAGATTTAACTTCAACATCTTCTGAATTTTGTTCCATCGTTAAATACGAGTATACCAAAAGAACACAAGTTTATTATAAATCACGTATATTCAACGTAAAATAGATATGATGCTAATTATTAATTATTACTTAAATTTTTGAAAATATGCGGTGAAATTGAAATGGATTTTCTACAAGTATAAATTTGATATTTAGGTACGATTGAAGATATTCTTCACTCCATCCAAGCAATCTCTTCAATTATAAATTATTTTAAAGAAATTCATAAGTGGAGAGCGACTTCGTTCTGGGACTATAAATTCTGAAATTGATAATTCTTACAAATCTGAGACATTGAGATAAAATAATCGTTCAAAAACTATATTGAAATTATTTTTAATTAAATCTATGATATCTTGGAAAAACTACGCAATAAGACTTTGTAATTTAGTTATGTTTGATATTCGCCAACTTAATTATGTATAATAAAATATAATAAAATATAATAAAAAATTGTACACGTAAAATTTATTATTATATTATTATTGTTTCCTTTCATTTCATAATTTTTATAATATATTATATACATGTTTATAGTGACAAGAATTTTCTCAATATTATTTTTTCTTCAAAGTCTCGACTGGACTAATTGGCGATTAATGAAGTTATCGTCTGTCGTGTGTTGCAGCCTATGGTTCAGAATCCTCAAATAGCGAAATCGAAGAGCGTGGTATCCCGTCAAGCCGGGCGAGGATAGCCATTCGATCCTAACTCGCTCGAGTTTCCAGTTGGCGTGATCAAAAAGCCTCCAAAACGTCGACCCCGTCGGTGATCAAGTTATCGGGGGGTGGAACAGGTGGGGGTGGGGAGCAATTGTCCCCAGGGCCTGGCCCACCTCCCCTGGCATCCCCAATCGAGCATACCGATACTAACGAAAACGATGCGGCTACCACGGCGACAAAACACGTTGACAGCTTTCCACAGAACACTGAAACCACCATGAGCTTCGTCTTGCAGCTAGGCACCGTAGAAACATCCCTCGAGAAGAAGAACGCCAGCAGTCAGCCGCCATCGTCACTGTCGTCGTCGTCGTCGTCGTTGAATCAGGAGGAAACGTCAAACGCAATTGTTACCGGGGCTGATGACACCGGCGGCGGCGGCGGCAAGCCACAGATCCTTCAATGCCTGGAGAATACTGCAGATATTCCAGCCGGTCATGTTATTTCGTTTTCCGCCGTGAAATCAGTTAGCGTCACCTATCCGGTGGCGAAAGCCGTTCGGGAGGTGCAAAGAATCACTGGCTCTCAGACAAACACCACCCAGGTGCTGTCGACTCGCGTTATCTCGCAGAAGTTGCCGGTGTCTAGCAATCAAACACAGTCCGCCCCTTTAACGCTGAACGCATCTTCCAACGTGGCTCATGTTCCAGTAAACGCTCAATCTTTACCGTCGCCGGGCAGCGGAGTAGCCCATGTCTATCCTTTGCAGCATACCGCGGTGTCCACGCAGAACAAGCAACAAACTAGAAATCAGGTGATCACCAACGAGGCCAAGCAACAACAACAACAACAACAGCAGCAGCAACAAACCACCGCGATATCAAGTTTACAGACTAACATGCCTCTGAAAGTTCAGCCGGTCTCGTCGCAGTTGGTTGTGAGCAACAACGCGGTCAGAGCCATCACTAGCGCGACTTCATTGCCCAATATCCAGAGGATACACGTGAAGACGCAGAATCTTGTCGGTCAGGCACAGACAGTTAACTTGCAGAAAGTGAAGGCTGTGACGAACGTCAATCAGGGGGTAACCGTTCAAAGAAACTCCGTACCTAGGATACAGACGGTGCAGAAGAGTCAAGTGTCGGCTGGTACCGCTCAAACCACCCAGTTCGCTGTTAATCAGGTTACGAACAATAGCAACATACAGAGAAGCCAACAACAGGGCAACTCGACGCTTCAGAAAACGAACGTCGCGAACGCGCAGAAGGTGGCTCAGGTTTACAACAATCAAAAGGTACAGTCGCAAGTGTTGAGTAGCCATCCGAATCATAAAGCGCAACTGCAACAGATAACTGGTAATCAGCAGCAAGGATTACAGAAGCTGCAGGTTCAGTCGCAGAAGGCTGTGACCGTGCCCAGACAGCCGGCGAATGCGTCAAACGCGGTGAACAACGTTCAAAAATGTAGCAATTCTGTAGCTGGTATACAGAAGGTGCAGGTAATGGGCCAAGTACAATGTCAGCAGCAATTGCCGCAGATTCAGAAGCATGTGCAACAGGTACAACCGTCGCAACATCAGAGATCGCAGTCTACAGCGACCTTGCAAAAGTCCCAGACTGCGGCCACGGTTAATTCTAGCAAGGTACAGTCGATCGCGAACGCTTGCAAGAGCAACAGCGTGCCGAATATTAACAAAACGTCGCAGAGCGCCAATTTGTTAACCGTAAACAAGCAGTCGGTGATCTCACAACCGCAACAGTCGCAGCAACTGCATATTCAGAACTCGTCTCAGTTGCAGCAACAGTTGCTGCAACAGAACTCACAAGCGCAGCAACAGTCGCAGCAACAGGCAGTACAGAAGCATCAGCCGCAGCAACAGCAAACAAACGCGAATTCGCAAACTCAGAGAAGCCACAGTATTACGAATGTTCACCAGAAGGTCGCGACAATAGCTGCGACTATCCCCAATAACCAACGAACTCAAGTAGTCAACTCGAAGATACAGCAGCAACAGATGGTCATGAGAGTGGGCGTGTCGAAGAATCAAGCGCAGAATTTACAGCAGAGTAACTTGAAGAATGTCCCTCAGAAAATCGCCAATACCGTGAAAACTTCCAATTCGTCGCAGAACGTCGTGCAACAGTCGTTGCATAGAAACGCGAGTGCCGTGCAGCCGGTGAAGATCATTCAACAACAACAGAACATCATGGGGCCGCAGAATGCTCAGAAACAGCCTGGATGCATCAAAACGATACCTCCTCAAAAGCCAGCTCAAAGGAATCATACGCAGAAAGTAGCCGGTATTAAGACCTCTTTGAACACGAACGTGGCTGCGGTGAAAAATCAAGGATCAGCGGCTGCAATCGCACAAAAGACGAGCATCAAAACGTTGCTCCCCCAGCAGGCCGTTGCTGCGAATATGTTGATGCACAAAAGTCAGCCGATTAAAATACAACAGCAAACGATACAGCAGAAACAACTTGTCGCAACATCGCAGTTCCCCCAGCAGGTTAGGCAACAGTCTGGACAAGTGAAGACATTACTGCCAGTAACTAACATGGAATCTCGCAAAGATATTGAAAACAAGTTAGTATTTATTTAGGTCTCCTGTATTTGTATACGTATTTGTTGATCCTCTGTTACAATCGTGCATGTTCTACTGACTAATGTAACATTAAAAATATAAATATTAACTAATAATTAAATGTAATATTTGTAGAATCGAAACCGAGCTGCGTGAATCTAAGGAAGACGAACGTCAACAACGTTCTACAAGTCCAGTTATAAGAATACCTCCTCCTTACGAGGTAACATATATACATACATACATATATACATACGTACATATATATATCGTAGTAGTGCAAAATTCAGTAATGAATCTTCAGAGTCATTTTTCCAGTGTGCACTGTTGCATTTTGTAGTCATATATAGTTGTTCCCAGAACACGTAATTCTTGATTATAGTGTCTTCAGTACGTCCTACAGGATCACAATTACGGGGCACCACCGCCACGAACACCGTCACCTCCGTCACCTCCGTCTCACCCAAAACAGCCTATTAACGGTGCTGGAAGTTCTACCACGACTTCTCAGCATCCTTATATTTATGGAAAAGGTACCAGGCTTGATTAGAATCTTCACTTTTTTTAACACGGAATGGCGTATGAATGCCGGTTCATTTTGATCCATCACAAACGTTTCTCTTGTTTGCTAAAATTTTCAAACTTTTGGCGCGATTTTCAAACTCTCATAACACGCTGTTTAATTCCTATATATATATATTAATACACGCTATACGTATTATACGATATTCTTGTGTACAATAATAATTTTTTATATAAACAACGTTACAATATACTAATGTTCGGAATATTTATTTCCGTCAGACGATCATAATAACAGTTGATTCAAAATAATAGCATTCATAAAGGTTAATGCCGTGTTATTCGTTTCATCGTAAACGTACTGTCTTAAATCTTCAAAATTTTAGTGCGGAATAGCTCGTTGGGTTAGACATATAATTGTATAATATTATACAATATAATTTATTTCTATACGCTATTCGAAACTGTACGTACTTTCGTTAGGCTATCGCTCGTAACGATCACTTCGAAATACAATATTCGTCGATTAATGTTGTGTTGTTCGATGCAGTTGTTAGTGGTACTAACGTGGACGACGATGCAGCTAGTGCAATCAGTAGTGAAACAGGAAGAGACGCAGAACTGGAAGGCGAAGAAACTGAAACCGCCCCCGAAGGTGAGGGAGATGACGAGGATAGCGTTACCAGATGTATATGGTAAATATTCGAGAATACTGACATATTAATCTCTTACAACATCAATGTAGAGGTTTACGCGTCTTTATCATCTTTTTAAACAGAGCAGTGTACACTGTTACGTTGTTATAGTTTTTCAAGTTTTTCACATGAGAGAACTTTAATTCACTTATTTTCTTAATGTCGAAATTTTAACACGTGCGCTGCCACGGTCATTTGTAACCGAAGGTTACAACTTCCTCATGGTGGTCATCAATGCCTCAAATTTCGAATAAGTAAAATGACATGAACTAAAAACCTCGAAGACCACAGCTAACCAAACAATATTATGAAATAAGGATTAATTATATATATAACTATTTAATTGAAACATTGCATATTATACTACAAAAATTAGATACAGTGTATTGATTCTCTTGTGGCCTGCTGAGAGCATCGTGTAAATTGGCGTGGCAGTCAGTGTGTTAATTTATTCAAAGTTTATTCTAACGTAATTGTATATCATAAATTTCGTTGTTATACTTCCTTGCACAGTTTGCGTCAGGCCTTGCCGTAGTTAAAAGATTAAAGAAACTGTATATCAACGAGAAGAAATACTCATTTAAAAATTTTTTCGCTTCTAGTGATTTCGAGCATGATGATGGGTACATGATCTGCTGTGATCGTTGTTTGTAAGTTCAAATAAAATATTCAAGTGTTATTCGACGAATTGAATGCAACGTATCACCAGCAAATGTAAATTTACGATTCTAGAGTTTGGCAACACGTTGATTGCATGGGGATAGATCGTTCCAACATCCCTGACGAGTATCTCTGCGAAATTTGTCGGCCGCGGCGTGTAGATAGACAGAGGGCGCGTGCTTTGCAAATGCGTAAACGCGAGGAATTATTAAATTCGGATACGTCGTCCGATACATCGTCCACCAGTTCGGCGGATACCGACGTCGGTGTTAACACGATCCCAAAGAAACGAAATTTACAGCAGCAAATTCCTCGACGAAAGTCCGAACCACCGCAAGTAAGGCGACTGAACAACACCACCACCACCACCAACAACAACAACAATAACAACAACACCACCACCAACAACAACAACAATAATAATAATGTCGCGAAAAGACAGAGAAGAGATTCTCATCCGAGACAATCCAGCGCCGTTCGCAAGAAAGAAGCTACGAAACGAGGCCCAGGTAAACGCAAAGCTAAACGAAGAATGAGCTTGGAAGATAAGGAGGAGGAGACTCAAGATACGTGGGGTTCGAATGTCGCGCCACTAAGACAGTGGATTGAACGTTACGAGGAGGCAGTGACGAATCATTATAGCCCCGAATTAAGAGCCAGGATATCATCTATCAAAGTGAATGGTACACACAGCGACTTGAGGCAAAGTAACATGAACGTCATCGCCACTGGAAAGTGTAGGCTCAATGTGCACAATAACAATATCAGGGTAAGTATAGCTACTCCTCTTTCTCTACGACGAGCGATTATTTCTTTCGATCAAGGCAACGAGGTCTAAAGGAAATTTCTTTTTCTCTTTTCGCGCAGTTTCTCGTAGCAACCATGTATCTCCCACCAAATACACCTGTCGTTGAATTACGAGGAAAGTATATGTTAAGTACGCAACATCGACCGTCCTATCCTCAAGGAAGGCAGCACACTCAGAGGCCTGGACCGTTTGTATTCTTTTACCGGTTGCCACGAGACGGGACAGAAGTCTGTGTAGATACTAGAACATACGGGAACGATGCCAGATTCGTGCGACGTAGTTGTAAGCCTAACGCGGAAGTGAAACATTGTATAGAGAAAGGGACATTACACTTGTATATCGTTACCACAACCGCAATCGAGAAAAATGCCGAAATTACAATCAGACACGAGCAACACGATCTCCTACTGTCACCTAATCCGAACGGTCCCATGATGCCCATCGTTTGTGCGTGTAATAATCCAAGGGAATGTCAAATAGTGTCTTTGAATCAGTTGAACAGAAGAGGGAGTAACGGAGCGTTGGCTGAGAACGCCGATGGCCGAGAACGGAGACGAAGGGGTAGGCGAAATACAATTTGCGAGGACAGCGACTCGTCGACCGTGATGCCCAGTAACAACATTATCGCGCAACCTGCCCTACCACCGACAACGGTGTCGTCGTCCTCGTCCTCGTCCTCGTCCTCGTCGTCGTCGTCGGTATCCGTGCCGCCAAGAAGAACAGTCACGACCACCGTGACGAATGCGGTGCGCCAGGTATCCAAGGAGGAGCTGCTGACGGTGGTTCAACAGCCGCAAACCTCTCCAAATCTGAGTCAGCCAGTCGCGGTAGAAACTAAGAAAGACAAGAAGAAAATGACCAGGGAGGAGAGAAAAATGGAAGCTATCATGAAGGCTTTTGAGAGGCTGGAGAAGGCGGAGCAGAGGAAGCAAGAAGTTCAAGCGCGGAACGCGCAGCGAAAGGAATCGGGCGGTACGCATAGCGACAACGAAGACAGCCACAGCGTAACGATCCAGTCGAAGCAAAAGCAAGCGAATTCCGACAGGCCTTTGAGGCGGAAAAGAAGGAAGGGCAGGGCAAGGACTACGAGTACCTCTCAGTCGCAAGGTAGCAGCAGCAGTCGGAGAACCCGATTAAATTCCGCGGATTCGGACGAATCGTCCGGAGAAGAGAGCAACTCGATGCAGTCTCCGCCTTTGTTAAACCAAAATCACTCGCAGAATCGGGATGGTCCTTACTCTTCTCATTTGCACACCCCTGCAAAGAACATGAACGAGAACGTAGCTGCAGCTGCACACCAAGGCATACCAACAGCCGCTGGTCTACTGCTAGCTCTAGCAAATTCCAACGCACCTGGACCGAGTTCGCCTCCTTTGCAACAACCAACGCCAGTTAAGAGCCCAACCTGTGACAGCGGTGCGAGTAGCAGCTCTCAAAGTTCAACACCATCCACGCCTTTGTCCTCGGCTTGCTTGCTAGTTGCGGCAGCGGTCGGCCCCCTGGCTCCTGGCTTCAAATTTCCAAAAACCAAGAAGGTCCTGATGAACGAATGGTTGAAGGAGTCACCCGATCCACCGCAGAGCAACATATCTCAGATGTCACCGTTGCCAGCGTTACCGCCAGCCTCCGCGTCAAACTCGATAAACACTCTTTGCAGGTCCTCGGATTTTTCTCTGCCGACGGACTCGTCCGCGGAATTTTTAACGCAGAGTTACGCAGCCAAGAGTTTAGCCACCCTCGTGCAAGCGGCCAATTCGGTCTCCGGGATGTGCGACTCGCCACCGCAGCGCAAACAGACAGCCAGTGGGAACACAGTTTGCCCCGTCTCCACAGGATCTGCGAAGAAGAGATGGTTGCGTCAAGCCATTTCTGAAGAATGTGATTCACCGAATAGTCGACCGGACAGTCCGCCTGCCAGTGAAATGGTGGCTCCGCCAAAGAAAAGGAGGATAGCTAGAGAAAGCTTATCATCGGACAATTACACTCCACCCACCACACCCACTATGTTAGTCCTTGATGCTGTTCCAAATAACAGATCTTTGTGTCCTGCTGAAGTAAGTAGCTATTTGACAAATCGAAATGTTTTTTGGAAAAAAAAGAAAAAAAAAAGGATTGGAAATTGATCTTTTAACTGAATTGTTTTTTCCAGGACGATTTCATCGAGCACCTGCAGTCCCCATTGGTCGAACAGAACGATGAACGTCACATAACAATCACAGAATCTATAAAACAGGATGACGTCTCGCACGAGCATATAAATTCGGACGAGGCCGTACGGCAGAAGCTTTCCATAGATATCCCACAAGATTTTCATATCAAAACTGAGAAACATGTGATAGTAACGCAGATAGATGACGCTTCTTTGATGAAGGGAAAGAACGTACAAGTGAAGAAAGAAGAGAACGACGAAACGGATTGTGACGCGTATTTGGAATCAAAGGCTTTCATCAAGGATGAATTACGATCTGTTAAAAACGAGCTGATCGATCAGACGCTGGTTGATAAGAGCAAGAAGGAATATGTTGTAAAGAAAGAAGAGAACTTGGATATGGGAAAGGGTACGGTCGAGATAGTCGATCAGAACGAAGGAGACATAGAAATGGAAGATTTCAACTCTCCAATCGCTGTTATGGAATCGGATGCCATTCTGAAGCAACGCGTGGCTGAGATGAGACTCGAATTCGGAGGTAATATTAGCGAGATGGTCAAGGCCGAAGACGACAGATGCGACGACGACAGATGCGACGACGACAAAAGATCCGAGGACATGAAGTGCGAAGTGAAATCGGACGACAATATGTCGATCGACGAGTTTGACGTCGAGGCCCAAATGAAAAAGATCACTGGTGACGATGGGAATGATTACAAGGAGAAAGTAGACACCAGCTCGGAGAAAGATAAAAGCATGGATGGTATCGAGGGTCTGATGGAAAGTTCCAAGGAAGATTCGGAATCTGAAGACAAGGAAATGGACGATGTGAAGTACGAATCGCCGACGTTCAAGTCGTTCAACTTAAATCACGAGGAAAAATTATTCAAAGACTTCGGGAGCAAGTCTGAGCCAGAGTCCATCATTGAAAACAGCATGAAAGAGACAGAACAGAGCGAGGAATCTCAGAAAATTGAACAACCGTCGTCCGTGTTCGTTATTTCGTCGGAAGAATCTATTTTCGAGTCTGCATCCTCGAATATGGACACAGAGTCGGTCACGGAACCGCCAAAGATTTTTCACTCGATTCCACCGTTGAGCGAGCGCATTCGTAAGAAGACGGAAACAACCAGCGCTTCAAAAAGTCAACTGAATTTCGAAGCAGCCATTATCGAGTCTACCATCGATATGGAGACGGTAGACGAATCTAAATCCGGTGAACAAAAATCCATGCTTTCGACGGCGTTGAGGGAGTTGTTGGAAGCGAAATTGGATGATTTAACACCCGACGACGCTAAAGAAGAAGAGATCGTCCAAGAAAATAGCACACCGTACATCGAGCCAAAGTGCGAAACTCCCGAGCAAAATGTAGAGATCGAAGGATCTGTGATGAAGCCCGCCCCGCAGAACATTATTCACAATGAGGAAACAACTCCGGCGAAAGAGGAGGAAGCTCCGCCTAAGGAGATCAAACGATTAAAGGACCCGAGAACCGTCGTCCCAAACAATATGCCAGCACCTGCATTTAAACCCGAGACAATTGTTCCTGTCAAGCGAAAGGTTAGATTGAACTATGGAATGAAATCTTCGCCTCGAAGTTATCTTTGTCTACTCAAAAGTGATTTGCTGTTCCAGTTGTCCATATCAGAATATCGAAAACGCAAACAGCAGTCGTCCGGTACACCTCCAGAGCCTGAACCGTCGAGTGATGCTTCTGCAACGGATAAAGGTGCTAGGGGTAGATCAGACAGCGCCAGTAGTGGTACATCGTCGCTTAGTTCCGATGAGGAAGGTTCCAAAGTCTCGTTAAATCTCGACGTACCGACCTTGACCGCGTTACCGCTCTTCACCAACGCGGAAGGCGAGGAAAAGAAAGGTTAATATGGTCGGGCGGTTTAGTCGGTTTTAGACAATAAGAAAAGTTGTTTCAACGTTGAAAATGATGATAGTATTTTGATAAAAATCGGTCTGTTTCCGTAGGTAGCGAAGAAGGAACAATCGGTTGGTCCGCCGCGCCAACCTTAGTCGAACGTCAAAGAGAAAATCTTACAGAAAGATTGAAACGAGAGTTTGGATTATTCCTCAGCGATGACGAAGAGGAACGAGCCCGCAAACATGGTAAAAAAATTTTGTAGCGTTCTTCCCTCGTTGTTTCGCTTTCTCTTGCTTCGTGCGCTTATATCATACACGCGATGCGTTTGTTACAGGATTGACGGCAGAGGCAATATTGAAAGCGCGTAAGGCGTCTCCGCCTCATCCTACCGTGTCAAACACACCGCCAGGTTACCCGTTACCTCAGTTGCCTCCTCAGCCCTATATACCTCCTCCGGGATCCGCATCCATTCACTATCCCCAATTCCAAGCCAAACCTTGTCCCGTTCAATACCAAAATTTCACGGTCCCGCAGAACGCCACGCAACCAGCCTACACAAACGCTGCGCCTCAGACCTCTACAAACAAACAGACGCAACAGTTCTTGGTACCTCAAGCGTCTCAAGCACCGCCAGGTTCAAATCCGTATCCTCCTCAGTTTGTTCCACCACCGTCTACCACAGCAGTATCGATCTCCAAGTACACGTCTGTTACACCGCCACCACCTGGAACTCAAATGTACCCTGCATCCGGCCAGTCGCAGAAGCAATTTTACAATCATCCGGCACCAAGGTCTTAACCCACATAAAAGGTAGCACTGTCGAAAAGTTTTTTTAGCTGGAAAAATTTTTATTAGACATTAGGTGGTCGGATCGCGAGTTAACTTGCCTAGATTGGTATCGAGCACGACTCGCGGCTGGTCGCTTAATTCCATTAGATTCAAGCGTTAAGTTATCCTCCCTGGGGGGGCTTGATGAGGAAAAGGGGAAAACATATTACGAATGGAACCAGGAAATAAATTCACAGTCTCTTCTATATTACCTGTCGTTCGCGTTCTAGCAAAAGGATATTTAGATTATAATAATAAGACGATGATCCGCGCGCACAATTGGCAGTAAATCAGAAGAGATTCGTGATAACAGGTGCTACATTGTTCTCTCTTGTATTAAAGACGTTATGCGTACACCGTTGACTGCGAAAGATGAAACATAAGGAATATTAACGCTTCTGATGGTTTCGGAGACGCACTCGATGGAATTCGCGTGGCCTAAAGTAGATTAAGTATTTTCCACAGAAAACAGAAACAGAGGTCGAAGGAAACGAGGGAAGGAAAACGTAGTAGTGTTTCTCATGCATTGTAAGTAACGATCGTGGGACAATGAAGGGAACTATTGGCATCTAAACATTATCGGCCAAAAGTGTATCGTACGTCGTATACACTTTTTATATCGGTGAAATGGTGCCCTAAAAAAAAAAAAAAAAAAAAAGAAGAAGAAGAAGAAAACATTTATATATAGCATTAGTTCAATTTTGGCGAAACTGTAACAAAGTTGGAATTATCCGAAACGATAATTGTGATACTGCATCGCTTCGGAGACTTCGAAAGTTATGTATATTATATATATATACACGCGTACAGAAGAACAGACACACATAAAAAAACGTGCATACCGATATTATCCAA